ATTTCCTGTGAAAAAGTAGTGGGTAAAAAGGGCTGGAGCACATGATGATTTGATTGGGAAAATTACTCCAGATATTGGAAGTAGTGACAAGGTGGAAGACTTTGTTGCAGGTACTCAATTGGAGGAAGGAGAAATACCTGGTGAGGTGGAAAAGACTTCTACTAGAAGGGGTTCGGAATGGTTGGTTAATTCTGCTGTAGAGGCTGCTGGATCTATTGAGGCGCCTTCTAAGATAATTGGTATGTTTCCTGTTGCTATTCACCCTGTTGTTCCTGTTTGTTTGAATAAATTTGCTGTGTTGGAGGAGGAGGAAGAGGATGGGATAGAGGATGCTTGTGTTAAAAATGACTCTGGAGGACGTGGTAGTGAAGGGGTTTTTCCTGTATCTGGAAGACCTGTTGCTGCTGAAGGTGCTAAGGGGTGTGAGGGGAATTTGTTTATTGGAAGGTTAGAGAAAGATGCTGGCTCCAGTGGAGATTTGGTGAAGGGTAAGCTTGCTAAAGAGCTTAGAGCTTTGGGACCTATTAAAATTAGTTCAAGAGGTAGAAGTGTGGATGGTGGTTCGAAGAAGAAAGGTGGGGGCTCTCCCCCCAAACAAATTTAATGGAATCCATTATTTTTTGGAATTGTAGGGGAGCCAAAAAGAGGGAGGCTTTCCTCTACTTAAAGGAGATTGTTAAGACTACAAAGTTTTCTTTGTAGGGTTGCTTGAAACTAAAATTTCTTCTATGGAGAAGGACTTGTTTGTAAGAATGATGGGACTTGGTTGGGAGTATTTCATTCTTCCTTCAGAAGGGCTTTCTGGTGGTATTATGGTACTTTGGAGGTCTGATCTGGCATCATTTTCTGTTTTGAAAACTTCAGATCAATGTGTTATTGGTGATCTTAATGTTTTCAATAAAGGTGTTTGGATGATTTCTACTGTTTATGCAAGTAAGGAGACAGTGAAGAGGAGGCATCTTTGGGAGGTTGTTCAAGAGGCTTCCAATAGAGATATTCCTTCTATTGTCGGAGGGGATTTTAATTGTATTTTGTCTCAAGAGGACAAGAAGGGTGGTAGAAGGTTTAAAACCAATCAAGGCTCTTTGGACATGTTGAAGTTCATGAATGAGAATGACTATTATGAAGTTGGTTTTGTTGGACCAAGGTATACTCGGTGCAATAACAAAGAGTGGTGGAGGGAGGATTTTGGAAAGGCTTGATAGATGTATTCTTAACTCCTTGGCCATCAACAAAATCCAAATTACATTGGTTAGACATCTTGTTAGAGTTGGTTCGGACCATTGTCCGATTGTTCTTAAGATGTTCGAGATGACTTGTAAAGGTAGAAGTGGCATAAAGTTTGAAGATACTTGGCTTCCTTTAGGACTGCTGAGCATATTGTCTCTAGTAGGTGGAAGAGACCTTTTTTGGGGGATGACATGGAGGTTCTTAATAAAAAATGTAAAAAGACATTGAAAGATTTATTTTATTGGAGCAAGACTAGATTGAAGAATTTCTCTTTGGAGAAAGACAAATTGAAAGCTGAAATTCTGGTTTTACAAGATGAAGAATCAAAGCATGGGTGGTTGAATGAGGATAAACTGTGGTTACTTAAAGCTAAAGTTAAAGAATTAAATGTTGTGCTGAATAATCTCAATACTTGGTGGAGACAAAGAGCTAAAGCAAAATGGGTTAAGGATGGTGATGCAAATATCAAATTTTTCCATTCCTTTGCAAACTCTAGAAGGAATGTCAACTGGATTTCTCAAGTGAAGGATTCTAATGGGGTGCTGTCAGATGATCCAGGAACGATTGAGGAGGAGTTCATGAGATTTTTCCAGGTGAAATGGAAATCAAGGACCTGCAGCTTTACTGGGTGGCCAAAGCCGTGGACCTCTTTGCTGGACAGTGATAAGGAAATGCTGAACAGAGAACTGAATGAAGCTGAAATCAGTGATGTTATCTTGAATTTGGGAAATAACAGAGCTCCGGGCTTTGATGGTATTACCTAATCTTTTTTCAAAGCTTTTTGGAAGATCATTAGAGTGGATGTAGTGCGGGCTGTGCAGCAGTTTTTCCACACTGGTTCGATGAATAGGGATTGGAAAGACACAATAGTTGTGCTTATTCCCAAATCTTCTAATCCAAGTACTCCCTCAGCATACCGTCCTATCAGTTTATGCAATTCAATTTATAAAATTGTTGCTAAAATCTTGCTTAACAGAATGGTGGAGATTATGCCTAGGATTATTTCTGAAGAACAAGCGGCTTTTGTGAAGGGTAGGTCTATCTCTGATCATCTTCTTCTTGCTCAGGAAGTTTTCAATAAGCTGAGGTTTTCCAAAGCATGTAATGGATTCTTGGCAATCAAAGTGGACATGGAGCAAGCTTATGATAGTATGTGTTGGTCTACTTTGGAGAGAATGTTGATAGAATTGGGTTTCCCTTCCAGGTTTGTTCATTTGGTAATGGATTGTATTATTGATCCAAGATTTTCTATTGTGATTAATGGATCTAATTCTGGTTGGATTGAAGGGAAGAGTGGCTTTCGCCAAGGGTGTCCTCTGTCACCTTTTCTGTTTATTCTTTGCTCACAACTTCTTTCCAACGCCTTTTGGAGTAGGGATAATGAGGTGGGTATTAGAATTTCTACTAATGCTCAGAGGATTTCCCATCTGTTATTTGCAGATGATATTTTGTTGTTTTTGGAAGCCAAATGGAACGTCATGAAGAAAGTTAGAAAGATATTGGAGGATTATTGTAAGTGGACTGGTCAAAAAATTAATTACCATAAATCTTCTTTGGTTTGTGGTAATTCGGCGGACAGGAGGAGGAGAGTGCAGATTTCCAGATTCATGGGTATTAAGCTTGTTGATGAAGTTGAGTATTTGGGCATCAAGTTGGCTTTGAGACGCTTAAGGAAGGCTGATTTTTAGGGATTATTTGATAAATCCTGTAAGAAAATCAATGTTTGGGGAAATAGGTTTGTCTCTTTTGCAGGTAGGATGGTGTTGGTTAAATCTGTTTTTCTTTCTCTTCTGGTTTTTACCATGACTCATTCTCTTGTTCCAATGAAAACTTTATTGGAGTTTGAGAAGATTTGTAGAGATTTTATATGGAATAAATGTGATGGAAAGAGGGGTCTTCATTACATGGCTTGGGATCATGTTTGTAAGCCTAAGGAGTATGGAGGTTGGGAAGTTCAATCAGCTGTGGATAGAAGGGATGCTATGAGATCTAAATTTGCTTGGAAGTTGATTGATAATCCTGAATCTATGTTAAGCAGACAACTTAATGCTAAGTATGGAGATAATTGGTGGTAGTATCGGCTGTATGGGAGTTCCTGCACATGGAAGATTCTGTTTTTAGGGTGGAATGCTCTCAGGGAAATTGTTAGATGGAAAGTTGCTGATGGGGTAAAAATTAATGTGCTGAAGGACATATGGATTCTGGATAAATCTCTAATCAGGTGGCCAACGTTTGTTACTATGTTTGAGGATGAAGATGTTACCCTGGATAGTTTCATCACGGATGGCAGCTGGGATCTGATGAAACTCAGTCAGTTCTTTGGGACTGATCTTATGGATCTCATATGCAAGGTTCAGATTTCTCCCTGTTTGTCTGGAGATAGTATGGAGCTGAGGTTTAAAATGTCTGGGAAGTCAATTTCTACTCTAATTATGGAAGAAAAGTATAAGAACATGGGTGGTGTTGTTCCATTCAATTGGGTATATAAATTGAAGTTGAATGTTAGGCTTGAGGTGTTCTTATGGCGGCTGTTCTTGGATGCTTTGCCTACAGCTGATTTCCTCTTTAGAAGAAAGCTTGCTGATGATCCCCTGTGCCCATTGGGCTGTGAAGTAGTGGAAGATAGCAATCATATTACTACCTACTGTTGTAAACTGCGGAAGGTGCTGGATGTACTGAGAGGGTGGGGATATCAAATACCCGTTTAAGTGGGTGGTTTGAATGTTTGGTGGATCTTAAGCGGCATAAAAATGATAATTTGATGTTGATTAAAATGTATTTTACTGTTATTTGGTTTGTTTGGAACCACAGGAACAAGGTCAAGCATGGAAATCCTGAAGAAAGCAATGTGTTCATTGCTATTTCTATTCTCAGTTTTATCAGCCAGGATCGTTCACATATTATTCAATCGGGTAACTGGGTTGTTAATCAGTCCTTTGGGTTGTCTTTTGATAAATGGCAACCTCCTCCCCCGGTTGGATTAAGATCAACATTGATGCTTCTTTGAAGGGAAATTATGACGCTGGTATTGGAGGTATTGTAAGGGATTGCAAAGGGAGGTTCTTACTTGCGTTTGGGAGAAAGAAAATGCATTGGGACATAGCCCAATTGGAGATGGCGGCCATTGCAGATCTGAAGGAAGTCTTACATGGCAGATTTGAAGGAGTTGAAGGCATTATAGTTGAAGGTGACAATAAGAATGTTATTGATATTCTTCATAACGTGCACATTATACCGAAGAATATGAATAGAAGATTGGTGATTGAAGATTCTTCTTTTCTTTATGAGGTAAATAATGTGATTTTTCATTGGGTAAAACGTAGTTGTAATAGATTAGCAGATTTTTGTGCTAATCATGCCTTTTCTTCTGATTTTCTTTGGGATTTGTTTTGTGAAAATGATTTACCATCTTCCTTTTGTAATATGGTAAAGGAATATTGTGTAAGAGTTCCTCACATTTAGTAGTTTGTAATTAGGCTTTGTTTCCCTTTCTATGCACTTTTAGCATTCTTCAAAAAAAAAAAAAAAAAAGAGTTAGCAAATAGTTTCCTAATAAGACACTGAAATGCCATTTTAAAGGTTATGATGTGAGGAAAAATTGAACTTCTTTAGATGTTTATTCTTCTACTGACAGTTTTCCATTGTGAAGCATGCAGCATCTGTATTTAACATTGATATGCTGACCATTCAGCTTTATGCGATATGTACAGCTCTAGAACTTTGATCAATTAATATCACTAGCATTAGAAGGCAGTAATTTCTTTGTATAGGCCTTGGACTGGAAGGTTGTATTGAGCATGTTTGGCAAGATACCATAGCATATCTTGATAGCAACGATCCAATTCTGATAGGCCGTGCATATGGTAGAGTTAGCAGGCACTTGTTGCATGCTGAGTTGTTGAGAAGGTATGCAAGAACAGAAAATTCTTAGCCATTTATGAAGGAAAATTTTTAGACTGCTGATAATTTCTCCAGGTGTCAGGAAACTGGTGTTAGATTTCTTGACTCAAAAGTGGAAAAGATTATTGAAGCAAGTGATGGTTCGAGTGTTGTTGTCTGTGAAGGTGACCTCATGATTCCTTGCAGGTATATAAATTATAATAATTATAATACAAATTATAAATTCTTTACATTTAGTTGAAGCCAAAGTAAACGTTTTCTCCTGTAAATGTCCAGGCTTGCCACTGTTGCATCTGGAGCTGCTTCAGGGAAACTTCTCCAATATGAGGTAGGGGGTCCTCGTGTGTCTGTGCAAACAGCTTATGGAGTGGAAGCTGAGGTAGGTGTTGCAACTATGTTTTTATTAGTGCGTTTATTTTTTTCAGTTGTTATTCTGTCTCACTCAACTTATTGCATATTTTCTCTCACTTCATTGGCCAGAAAAAAATCCTTTTTTTTCCTCGAGAGAAAAGATAAGTGCTGTCAATTAATTACCGAAAGATGCTATTGTTTACTGTAACGTACATTTGTTAAGGATTCAGCGACAACTGAATATGTTTTAGTGCTTCCTTGGAGATAATGTGAAATTACTTGAACAATAGCTTTCTTTAAAGCAATCAAATAATATTCATATAAAGAGATGATTGAAAAGCATCACGGTTTCTGAAAATTTGTCAAGTGTCAAAATGATCTATAGATATTAATGTTGGAGTTTAGTAGGGTGGGGCGATAAAGAAAGTGGGAACTCTACAAAATATTGGGATTTGTAATGTCTGTCAAATTAAAGTGGAATGATTTCTAGAAGCCTTTAAGCTCATGCTAGAAATTATATTTCTTAAAGTTGGTGTGTTGATAGTTCGATATCTATTTTCTTCTTTCTTTGGTGGATGATAATTGTAGAGCTAATGTGAAAATAATGCATGTTGTTGCTCAATACTATCTTTTTTTGCTTATTCTCCTCACCTTATCATGTGAGATGGAGAAGAGGAACCCTCTTATATATAATCTGGATAATGTAACTGTGCTTCAACTTGGGAGTCTTTTTCTTTAAACGGGGAAAGAGAAATAGAAAAAGGGATCCAAAAAGCAAAAAAAAAAAAATTATTCCAATTTTATGAAACTCATCAAAAGGTTTTATGTACAAAGAGAGTGAAAACAATAGTTTCGGAAAACGCTAGTTCCTTTAGTCTTTTTGATCTTAGCTTAATGGAACAATATGCTACTGCTAAAACATCAATGAATTTAAATTTTAAATCTTAAGAAATGATACTTGCTTCTTGTGTTAAAATCTCTCTCCAACGATAAGAAGTTATTCAATCATATCATATATATTTAATGGTCTATAATGGTTAAATGAGAATTTAACTTTTAATATGACAAAATGGAGAAAAAGGATTCATGTAGCCAACCCCACATAGTGGGATAAAGGCTTGATGTTGTTGTTATTGTTGTTGGTCTCTAATGGTCCCCCACTATGAAAAAAAAGGGACAATTAGTTACATAACACCCAAATTTTGATTATTTATAAGACTAGAACTCATATATGTATAGTTTGTAAATGACTTTTGTGTGCAGAACTCCATCACAATTTCTTTTTATTGCACAAAATGAAAGATTATTTGATAAAAGAAAGTGCATAAAATAGTGTATCCCTTCATTTCTAATGAAGTTTTGAGCCATTATTTTTTTCCTTAAAAAATTTAGATGGGCCACTAATTAGGGTGGGATGATAAAGGAATATATTCTGGTCTTGTTAGTTGATATGCATCCTTTTTTTCCTCCATCACTCTTTACCCAGAAATTCAACAGTTACCTTTATGGAGAGCTCTACCTGGTATGGTGCTTTAAGATGAAGTTGATTTTTTCTGCCTTCGTTATTTAGTGTTTGCCTATATTATGATAATTGTCCGATTTGAACTTATTTTCGACATCGACTATTTAATTAATTAAATTTACATTTGTTATTGAATATTTTTGTCTTTTAGAAAATTTGAATTTTATTTTATTGGGATTATTTTTTCCTTTTTATTTTTATTAGGACTTATTTACTAATAATTATGTCATTTCTTTGTTTGCGTTATTCCTAGGTCGCCCTCACTACAAATAGGGACCTCTTAGGCTAGGTTAAGATATTGATTCTGGAGTTAAATTTTAAGATTTTCATATAGCCACTAGCTAATCTCCCTCATGTAACTATCATGTATCTATCTTCTCCTAATGCTGCATCAACACATGTCCAAAATCCTATGATCATATCTCAAACCAATGCATTGCATTAAGGCTAAGGTTCAACATAATTACACCAAACATATCCCCAAATATGCATCTAAAGTCATGATATTTTTTCAAGCACTTCCAAAGAATGCTATAGTGTGTGTGATAAAAATCAAGAACCACCCTCCATTTCCATGTTTGCTTGGCCAATCGCTTCTCCCTCTAAATCCTAATTTGGTGTTTTTTCAAAAAGCCATAAATCTCCCCATCTCTTGTCTCATGTATCTATCTCCTAGTAATGCTACATCAACACATGTCCAAAATCTTATGATTATATCTCAAATCAATGCATTGCATTATGGTTAAGTTTCAACATGATTACACCAAATATATCATCAAATATGCATTTAAAATCATGAATCAAGCCATGTTTGTCAAGCACTTCCAAAGAATGCAATAGCATGTGTGATAAAAATCAAGAACCCACCGTTTCAATGTTTGCTTGCCAACCGCTTCTCTCTAAATCCTAATAAGTTTTTATATTGTTTTCTTTATAAGATTTGCTTTATCCCTAAGTCTCCCTCATCATAAAAAGGGACCTCCAAGGCTAGGTTAAGATATTGATTGTATAATAAAATTTTAAGATCTCTTTTATAGCCGCGAATTCATCTCTCTTGTCTGGCTAATTATATATCTATCTCCTCCTAATGCTGCATCAACATATCCAAAATATCTTATGACCAAAACCAGTGCATTGCATTAAGGTCAAGGTTCAACATAATCACGCCAAATACACCATGAAATACACTTATCTAGTCATGCTTTGTCGACCACTTCCAAAGAATCCAAACATGCATGTGCTAAACATCAAGAAACCACCATTTTCAGGTTTGCTTGGTCAACCGCTTCTCCTCATAAATCCTAATTTTAATTTATTATTTTTTTTAAAACCATAGATCCCTCCATATACTACAGGAAAATCACGTATTATCGTCAGATTTCCTACGGAAAAATTTTCTAAGGTAAAGCCAGTGTCGAAAAAATTTTCTATCATGAAAAAGCCGTTGGAAAATTTTTCTGCGAAATTTTTCAGCCAGAAATTTTTTGGTGGTTGTCTGGAGAAAAAAAGCCGTCGGAATAATTAAAAAAATAAGCTCGAGCTGGTTGCCCGACCGCGCTGCCCCCTCGCCCACTTCCCATGTGGTGACGCCTGGGATTCGAACACACAAACTTGTGCAAATATTTCAAAGAGTCTACCACTTTGTTGTAGTAAAATATGTTACAAAATTTATTGTTTTATATTTAAATAATAATACTAATATTAAAATGTAGAATAAATTGAAATAAAATATTCAAATTAATAAAGAATTAAAATAAGATATTAAATTGATAATTAATTAAAATAAGCTATTAAATTAATAATGAATTAAACTAAATTATTAAATATATAATTAATGAAAATGAGCTATAAAATTATTAATTAATTAAATTACAAATATATAATTTTTTTTTGGAAATTATTAAAATCCGTCGGAAAATCTGCCTAATAAATCAGTTAGAAATATTTCATTGTAATTCGTTGGAAATCCACCGGAATATTGTCCGTTGGAAATCTGTCGGTAATGAACATTTTTCTTGTAGTGATCTCTTGCTCCCCTCTTCCAAAGATTGTTTGGTTGAATGAAATCACTCTTGCCAAGATGGCTTTTCCGAATATTATTATCTAGGAAGTTTATTTGTTGTCATATTTTTTAATATTTGTTTTATCCCAAAGTCTCCCCCACTATAAATAGGGACCCTTAAGGCTAGGTTAAGGTATTGATTATGGAAGAAAATTGTATGATTTACTTATGGCCGCTAGCTCATCTCTCTCATCTAACTATGAAGTATCTATCTTTTCCTTATGCTACATCAACACATGTCAAAATCCCATGGCCATAAAACAATGAATTACTTAAGGTCAAGGTTGAACATAATCACACAAAATCCTACCTAATACACATCTCAAATCATGAATCAAGCCATTCTTTATTGACCACTTCCAAAGAATGCAATAGTGCGTGTGCTAAAAATTAAGAACCCTTCATTTCCATGTTTTCTTGGCCAAAGATACCCCTCGTAAATTTTGATTTGGTGTTTTTTTATAAAAAAAGCCATTAATCTCTCCATCTCTTGTCCCCCACTAGCACCTAACTTACACACAAGATTGTTTGCTTGTATGAAGCTAGTGCACTTGCCAAACTTTACCTGGATTTTGTGGAATATTATTATCTAGAAAGAATATTTATTATTCTTTTTAATATTTGATTTCGTATTAATTGGATAACTCATCACAATGTTTGTGAAAAGCATGGTGGATATTTTATAACGTTAGTGAGCCTTGATGTTTGACCCCCTTGGAGAATGCACTTCAATGTTGTGAAGACTGTGATGGAGCTATCCAATGAGATTAGCTTTAATGCCCAAGGAAAATCCTCAAGGGAGAAGGGGCTTAATGCTTGGTAAACACCATCTTAAATGGTTAATCACATGGAATGGGTATCATGATGGCTAATGAAAAGACTTATACCCTTAAGACTATGGTTGTATTCTTACTTCACCTAAATGTGTTTCAAAATCATGGCTTCAAATCTTAATGCCATGTGAGAAAGGCTAAGCCAAATAGGGATGGGTCTTATGACCTCTCTTTATAGGCAAGACGATATGAAAGCATATCATAGTTATGTGATGCAAAAATATAACATTATCTTAGACCTATAAGCTAACAATCTCAAGGACATGTGTTGACCACCAATTTGGACCTGCTCGAGGTTGGTTCAATAAATCAAAGATTATTTTAATGATTCAAATATATCCAATATTCTAGAACTTAAGTCCTCTCTTCACAAACTTTTATGACTTGTCTACCAATCTGACTTGTCGGCAAGCCTCCCTTATAATAAGCTCTCAAATTGATTGATCGTCCAACCTGTTTAGCCCACATGATTTTTCCCACCCATTGATGCATTTTTACCCTCCTTATCATATTATGGTATATTAACTGATGTTTGATTGGTCAATAATATGGTGAACCAGTACTAGTCATTCTTTAACATGTTGATAACCATCGGCTCGTCACCAGCCCTT